GAACATATACGGCTGGGAAAGTAGTATACAGAGTAAGAGCAGAGAAAAATCTGATCTTAAAACCGTTTATAGAAACTGAGTTAGAAACAATACTAAGAACAGACATGACGATCGATGAGTCTACCGAGGGAAGGGTGGACGACCTGCCAGGCAGTGAACGGGCAAGGGATCAGGGTTCACAGGAAAAATGTCACACCCAGAGCAGGGTGACATCGGAACTGGAACACACTGATTCAAGAGATCCGTTGGGCTCTGGAGGAAAGGAAATGGGATCCCAAACAAACAAAACGAAAGACCGGTCGTCTGAGGAAAGGAAAATAAGACTAGGAGTTTTTGTATCAAACCCTGCATTTGGAAATAAGGTATCTAAGTTACTACCCGCCGTAATATCACAGTCAGGACTCGTACCTTGTACAACAGCACCAATAAAAATAATGCTACAGAACTTTGGGGATAAATGCGTCACCATTCCAAAATATGCAGTAGTAGGAGAGGTGTTTTTTCTTCATCCGGAGGAATATGACGAGAGTAACATTAAGAGTAACACTGAAGGCGACAAAATAGAGGCAGAAGACACAGGAGAGGCGGAGACTGTCAAGGTATGCGTAATCAACCATGACAGAGTCCCTTTCCATGATGCAGAATACAACACACAGCCTTTAATGCCTCCCATCGGAGAAGACGAGCCTTTACCAGCAGACTTGCAGACATTGGTGGACAAAAGTGAGTTGTTATCTGAAACACAAAAGAAAATATTTGAAAGTAAACTCAGGATACATCATGACGTATTTGCTAAAGATAACACCACATTTGGAAAGTGCACCTATCTCAAGTATCGAATAGACACAGGGGATCACCCTCCAATTAAACAAACTGCTAGACCCATACCGTTACACTACAGACAAGCAGTAATGGAGACTATCAAGAAGTATCTTGAACAAGGAGCAATAGTTCCAAGTCAATCAGCATGGGCATCCCCGATATTATGTGTCATGAAGAAAACAGGAGAGGTAAGGGTATGCATCGACTACAGGGCTCTTAATGCGGTAACAAGAGTACGAGCCACTCCAATACCCCGGGTACAAGACCTGCTACAGCATATGGGAGGTAAGAAGATGTGTCACGCATTTGATTTAGCCCATGGTTATCATAATGTAGAAATACACCCAGATGATCAAGCAAAAACAGCCATTATACTACCGGAGGGGCTAGGGCTTGCACACAGGCAGTTTGAATTCACAAGGCTGAGTTTCGGACTGTCGATGGAAAAGAGGTCACATTAGCCTATTGGTCAAAAACATTGAACCCAGCACAAAGAAATTATTGTGCAACACACAGGGCATTACTGGCACTAGTGGAAGCCATAAAAACGTTCAATCATTACCTGGCAGGTGCACCATTCACAGTTCGGTCTGATCATGCTGCACTCCAGTGGCTAAAGGGGGCATCCTAGTGTAGTGGGCTCAAAAAATGGAAAAAAATATTTTGGTCTCAAAAAATCCCTTATGGTCACTAGATTACAGCCCACTTTGTCCGGTGCGTCAACTCGAATTCTCCTGCCCGTAAGAGCGTAGCGCGTGAAGCAGTAAGCAGCGCTCCGTCGGCATCGCAAAACTTTAACGGCGTTTTTCTCGAAACGCCTTTTTTCGAACTGGTGGGCACTCTAGCGGCCAAACCGCTTGGCCGATCGGGTTGCGATTTTTCGTGGCTGTTCCTCTCGCGTATCTCTATCGTGTGAACCAAGATATCTGTATTCGGATACCTCCTTCACAGTGAAAAAAAATTGAAAACATTAAGATTTTTAGTCAAAATTTTATCATAAAAGTTTGAGGCGTTCAAAAAAATAGTAAATTTTGCTCTATCGCAAAACTCCTGGTTCACACGATAGCCACACTCCTTAAGTTTAATTTCCTTTTTTGGTCGACTGTTTAAAACCAACGGCTTGACCTCCAGACTGCCCACCATGAGGAGATGACATTGCTGCAGCGTGTTGCCTCATGGGGGATAGCTCCGCTACCCGAGGGGTAACCGGCACCGGCGACAATGGATTTTGTAGCTTAAAGTGCTAGCTATTAAACCCCGCAATCGGTTTTGCTCTGAGAGCTTTAGTTTTTTAAAAATAAATTCCCGAAAACACCCCTTTTTTAAGCCGGCTACACTAGGATGCCCCCTTAAGAATTTTAAGAACCCCACAGGCAAGTTGGCTAGATGGCTGGAAAGACTAGCACCATATAAATTCCAGGTTATCCACGTAAAAGGAACCAGTATAGGACATGCTGATGCATTATCTAGGAGACCATGTGAAAACTGTAACAAATGTGACAGATTAGAAGAAAAAGACAAGGTAGCTTTTGTGTGCCAATGCAGCACTGTGGCAGACACATTGGAATGCCTAGATAATTGTCCAACATGTATACAAAACAAAAGAAAACACATCAGACTTACCGCGGATAATGTAAAAGTAAACTGGACAACAGTAGTCCCAAATGGATTGACACCAAGTGACATACACAAAGCACAAGTTTTGGACGAATCCATAATGCCCATATTTTTGGCTGTAGAGGATGGAGTCAGACCAGACTTTCAGGAGATAGCCCAGTGTGGAAGCAAAACAAGAACCTTGTGGCTACAGTTCAAATCTCTCACTATAAACGGTGGAGTATTATACAGAAAGTTTGAACATCCTAGTGGAGACAAAAGCAAAGAGGAATTACAACTAATACTCCCGGAACAACTGGTGGAGCAAACAGTTAAGGCATACCATGAACAGTTGGGGTTAGGAAATCACTTTGGAATAACAAAGACACTCGCATACCTTAAAAGGTTCTTCTGGTGGCCCGGAATGTTTAATGATATATACGGAGTAATATCTGAATGCAGAGTGTGTGCCAAGTTCAAAGGTCCACACAGAATGACTAAAGCACCGCTTAAATTATTCCAGGAAGGAATGTTACACGGAAGGTGGCATGTGGATATATGTTGACCAATCAATCCTAGAAGCAAAGAAGGACACGAGTACATATTAGTAGCAGTGGAAGCATTTTCAGGTTGGCCTGTAATAGTTCCATTGTTCAAACAAACAGCGGATGAAATAGCACAAGCTCTGATAACGCATGTATTCTCCATATTTGGAGCTCCGCATGCATTGTTAACAGACCAGGGCAAAGCATTCGACTCACTACTATTCCAGGAGATAATGGAGTTGTACCACATAAGGACATATAGAACTTCGGCATTTCACCCTGCAACAAATGGAAAGGCAGAGAGATGGATTAAAACGCTCAAACAGCAGCTAATGATCCTAATCGAGAAGGACAGGCAGGAGTGGCCAAAGTACTTACCTTTTATAGCACAAGCATACAGAAGTCTACCACACACATCTCACAAATTCAGCCCATACGAGGTAATGTTTGGAGCTACCATGAGAACACCACTTGACATGGCCAGGGGTGAACCTCCAAAGGAAGAAGACATGTTCAAACAATATCCTTTTTGGGTCAGGAAAACATTGCAAGACATCCACAAACTAGTGGCACACATGAGCAAGAAGTCTGCAAAAAGAATGAAGGAATATTCCGACAGAACAGCAGCACTAGTACCATTTAAGGAAGGAGACCAGGTTTTCCTGTACTATCCCAGAAGGGTTCAGGGTATCTCAACAAAGATAATCGCAAGATGGGATGGTCCATACCTGATACTGGATCTTATAAATGATTGTAACGCACGAATCCAGAGTATGGATGAGCGCAAGAAAAACATAATAGTCCATGTGGACAGACTAGCTAAATGTCCAAAAGGAGAAGCCAAGGAAGATGAATACATCTGCAGCGCTTGGTTAACTTACGTCTGCTAATAAGCAAGGCGGCCATCTTGAAGTGAGATCGATATCTCGACTACAATCGAGCAGGCTTACTTCCACTTCCAGACTCGATAGGCAACTTGGCAACACAGCGCGAAGTTCAAACGACGGAAGGCGGTGAGCATTGTTGAAGGGAATACCAAACCTCCAGTGCGGATACCTGAGTGAAATAATTATTTGTGAAACGTGTGTTAAATCGAAATGGAAGAGATTCCGGATAAGAAATCTACTTTCCAAGGGCTGAGAGTGGCAGTACCCGAAGTAAGCCAAGAAAGGAAGATTTTTCAACTAAGTGTAGTGCCAGTGAAAAAGGAAAAACCACCACCAAAGACACCAGAGGAGCTGAAAGCTATAGTGAACAGAGTGAGTAAAAAGATGCAAGAAGATTAACGAAGAGAGGATAGCAAGCAAGCAAAAGAAGTCCAGCTACTACATAAGCCGAAACTGGATGTGCAAAACCTCATGAGGAAAATAATGAGTGCCAAGAAGGGAATCAAGATCCAGGTAATAGAAGCTCCAAGGGCCATAGCTCAGCCAAGACAACAAGTGCGAGTGCAGAAACGGCCTACTAAACCCGTTAAAAGAGCATCGCAACCAAAACCCATCAAAATAAAGGAAAATGTCCAGAAAACCAAAGAGAGAGCATGCTATTTGACACCAAAGTCAAAGGAATTTGTGAGCGAGAGCAGTGACAGCAGTGACGAGGAAGCAACTAGAAAAAGTGCAGGCAAGGATGAAGCAACGAAGAGACAAGAAAAGGAGAGCAAGACTGAAGGAACAGCCACTTTGATGGCAGATCTGGCTTTGAGTGACAGTGAGGAAGAGGGAGAACACGAGAAAAGTATGGAATTACAGGAGGACAAGAAGATGGAAGACTGCGAAAAGACTGAGAAAACAGAAGAGGAAGAGGGAGAACACGAGAAAAGTATGGAATTACAGGAGGACAAGAAGATGGAAGACTGCGAAAAGACTGAGAAAATAGAAGAGAAAGAGACAGAGAATGGAAAAACTGAAGACAACGAAAGAGAAGAAAAGGGAAAAGCCGGTGAGGAGAAAGAAACAGACAAAGAGGGAGTAAGGAAGTGTTGGAAGCTGATACCAATAGACAATATAAGTGTGCCAACGTCAAAAGCAGACTGGATAACAGAAATGTGGGAAGCAAGGAACAAAGAAATGCAAGAGAAGAAGATGAAGGTACACCCAGACGACCCAAGGTTCAATGCAAGGTGCAAGAAGTGCAGGGAGCGTTTCCATTTCACCAAGGAATGCACAAAAGGGAAGAAGGAGACACCATGAATTTGTTAATAAATATATTGGAAACCACCATGTTATTTGGTGAACATTAAATAAATACATTTGCAATGTTATAATTATGTTTAAAAACATCAGATAAATAAATGTTTAAATTAAAACAACAAAGAGATCAGGATCTTTCAACCCAACAAACCATAAAGGAACTTTAAAGATCAAAGTAATGGCAAGGGAGAAAACATAAATCACAAAGGAAATCTGGAAAGAAACAGAGAGGAAAGGGTGAAACAGGACGGAAAAAGGATGAATGTAAAGGAAAGGAGGAGCAAAAACTAACCTCACTCCTCGGGAGAACAGCCGCCATCTTCAGGTCTGGATGGAAGGAGTATCGCCGGATCCAGGACCAGCTGATGCAGAGGGCGCTAAGAGCAAAAACAAAAACAAAATAAAGCAACAAAAATCACCTGCAGTAAGCTGAGGGAAGACCCAAAACGCACAAAGGTGAATCGAAGGCATCGGGCGCAAATGTAAACGCTATGGGCACCAAAGAGTTCGGGAAAGGTTTTAAACGACAGCTCAAAGACCCCAGGGGTGCGTAGCAAGGTAAACTCGGGAGCACAAAAAGGAGCACAACTTCCACAAATTTGTACGGGCTCAAAATCTTCCAGCCCATGGTGATAACACAGAAATACAAGAGCCATGGTAAAGAGGTAGCGATCAAGAAAACCGTTGCGTTTTTGAACAGACTGAACGGAAAACAAAAGAGCAGCCTACCTTCGTCGGAGTCGGAGGAATCGGCCGGTCCAACAGGGTACCAGTCATCAGTTTCTGGCTCAGATTCCTCAATGATGTCTGACAGAGTTTCCACGGAATTAGGACCCAAATTTAAAATTCCATAATACTCATCTGAGCTGATGACACCATCTTTATTGCGGTGCGCCATAATTTCGCGCTCCATAACTCGCTAAAAGAAGAGAACAGAGTAATAAAGGAACATGCAAAGAAAGAGAAGCAGAAATAAAATGGAGAGAGAACGAAACATACATAACAAGGTTCATAGCAATAGCCACAAGTGCACCACTCGTCATTTAAACCGAACACCCACTCGTTGACAACCAGGTCCTCTTCGTAAAAGCTGTCGTCCAACACCTCCCATTTATTACTATTCTTGACCTCAGAAGAGGTACCGCAACGAATGCATAACTGCAATAAAATATAAAATTTAAGGAACACAAGAAAAAATGAAGAAAGAGAGCTGGAAAAAGAAAGGTAGACCTACCCGGCGAGGAGCCCAGCCAGCGGGGCGGTAAAGCCCCCGAAGAAGCTGCACACAAATAAGACGAGCAAAGTCCCCGTACTCTGCATTTAATTGGTCTGAGTGCTCCTGGGGTTCAGGAAGGTCGCTGGTGATGAGAGCACTCAAGGATTCCGCACCAGGATCACGGGGAGCCATTTTTACCGAGATCACACGAAAGTAAGAGACAGGTGCCGGAGTTTGAAAGATAACGGTTGGAGAGCGCTCACGGGATGGACGGAAACAAAAGGGAATCGGAAAAACCGAATTCAAACGGCCACAGAAGGCGGTGGGAAGGAAGGAAGAAAGGGAGGAAGAGTTGTTGAGAGATAAATCAACAAATCAGCAAAGTTGTGAAAAACAACAGCTGCAAAAAATTTAAAGAAATTACACAAGACGACGCTGAGGAAAGGAAACCGCACTTCGACACAGGAGCAACAACGCAGAATCGCCGAGGGACAACATCAACGTGAAGAAATTCCAAAACAAAAGCTAAGTACCATAACCTAGAGAAGGTTCATAAGTTGTGTGAAAGGTTTAGTCTTATAAATAAAGGTGTCACGTAGGTAGGACTAGGCAGTAGGAGACACCTAGGCTAGTTAAAACTGATCATCCAACAAAAGTGGGTGACATGACAGTGTCTACTTTCGGAAATGTTGTGTGTTTCAGGTCACACAACAAACCCAGCATCAAGACAGCAAGACTGATTGTAGATAGGATAAGCATGGAACTCCGTGGTTGACAACCTTTTAGGATTAAGCTATTGAAATAAATAATTACAATGGCCCGGTAAGGTGTCATACTAATGCACTAGGAATCCCAGCCAGAAACGTCGTATCGATATTCCGTCGAATCGACATCGACTTGTCGAAAAATTCATCGTTTCGACGTATTTTTGGACATCTGGTACGACCAACGACGTCGAAATGACGGCGTTACGACATGCCATTTCTGGCTGGGAATGTGCTAGGAGGAAAGTCGTTTCTTTTTTGTATGCACACTGAGTCAAGCCAGTAGGGTTGAATAATCCGTAAGTTTGACAAGGTGGAAGTTTTCAGGATTAAGTTAAGTTAACAAAATTAAAAATAATAATTTATTCTGTTTGTTTG